GGATCAGAGAAAAGGAGCTTTGACCCCAATGGCACCTGCTCCTTGGATGATCTGGACCATTGATCTTGATTCTTATTCTGCCTATATACATATCCTATTATGGCCTCCAAGGTTAGGGTTACATTATCATTATTTCTCTTAGCCATTCTACTCTTACATTCAATCTCTAACTTAGGCATCATAGTGTTTGCCCGGGGCTTGACCCAGGACTTACACTAACAATCTTGGTTTTGCAGGAGGAGCTAATAATCCTCAGACAAACAATCTTGGTTTTGCAGGAGAAGCTAATAATCCTCAGACAATTGGTGGTGGAGAACTTGACCTCTATCATTTGGCCCCTACCATGGGGAAAGGAAGCACGCTGCTTAGAAGTGCTCCTCTTTTCCACCCGTAATCAGGACTAAACAACCTCAGGGCAAAAGCTTTCCATGGCTACTCTGGGGAACGAGCGAAAAACCCCCGGAGGAGACCAGACGGCATTCACTGCCTCACCCACCCTCCAGGATACCCCGGAAGAAGGGATGTCCCGGCCTAAGGTGAGGGCAGAAGAAATACAAGAGTTTGTTCTTGCAAACTTTCATGAATTTGAACGCTTGCTCCAGAACAATAAGTAGAATGATAAGGGGAAGGAGCCAGCGAATTCAAAGGAAAGAGGAGAATCACCTTTCTAGATCCCAGGCAACTGTTCTCAGATGAAGAGGACGCCCCCTGCAAAGGGCATTACACTGTCACTAGTAGTTCATCTGGGCAAAACGCTGAAGAGTCTGCTCCCCGAAAAAATAGATCCCTATGCCTAGTGTTACCAAGATGCCGTCCTTTGGTAGCCAACAATAAGGGCGATATCACTCGTATACTTACTATGGGTCAAAAAAGTACGGAGGAAGTTTGCCTTTCTCTTCAGAAATAGAGAAGTTCACAGCGGGACAAAAGTTGAAGTGCCCTCAAAACGTAGGCATGTACGATGGGAGCTCAGATCCGGATGACCACCTAAACGTGTATAACTTGGTTATGAATTTTTTTGCTTATCCGATGCCTGTGGTGCAAGCTCTTTCCAGTCACACTGCGAGACTGGGCCTGGCTGTGGTTCGATAACCTTGCCTCCGGAAGTGTCCACTCTTGGACACAACTGGAAGAAGCCTAGCGTCCGCACTTCCTACTGTAGAAGAAGTTCCGGAAAGCCTGGGAAGAGCTGTTTAATATTAAGCAAAGGGATCAAGAGACGCTGCGTGCTTACGTAGAACGTTTCGTTGAAAAAAACGCACATATAGGATCTCCGCTCGATGAAATCCAAATTGCTGCATTCATAAATGGGCTGCGGCACGGATGATTTTACATAGAGTTCATGGAGAATCCTCCGGATACTTTCAGAGAAGTCCTGAAAAGGGCAAACAAGTATGCTTGAGGGCAAGAAGCCAACTGAAAGCGTAGTGACGAGTCTCAGAGTTCACGAAGACCTGAAACTAAGAGTCGCGGCCCATCACGGTCTATCAGATGGTCACTCCAAGAACGCTTGGGGGACATCAAGAGCTTTCGAAACCTCACCTCTGAACAAAACACCCAAAGAGATCCTACAGATTGTTTCCGCGGAAGGCATTTCAGAAGCCACCGCCAAAGATGAACGAGTCTGACTTTCAGAGGACTCGGAGCCTATATTGCAATTTCCACGAAGATCACGGGCATGATACAAATGATTGCAAGCATCTGAAGAGAGAGATAGAAAGCTGCATCTAGAACGGTTAGCTTGCTATGTTTGCACTAGAGGCACAGAAGGGTAACAGGAATTCCAGGAAGGAGGATCGTGCAACTAATGCTTTCGGGAAGGACCAACGGGGGCAGTACAACAGGAACAGAAGCCATGATAGAGAAAAGACCAATCGAGAGGCCAACCAGATGGTAATGGGTGACATCTTGAGCAAAACTGGGGGACTAGCTGGGGGAGATTCAGAATCACAAAGAAAAGCTCGGTGTCAGAAGGTTCCGGATGGTGATGCCTACAACTAGGGGTGCTCAAAAAAATCGACACGAATTAACCGAACTAAAAACCGACATAAAACCGAACCAATTAACCAAACAATCGGTTAATCGGTTAATAGGTCTCGGTTAAACGGTTTTTTATCGGTTAATTGATTCAGTTTTTGGTTTTGCTTATAGCTTTGTTGGTTAAACCGTATAACCGATTCTAGTAAAAATAATTGACAAATTATATATGTCTAATATTTCTCATATCATCAATATTTTTTCTGTTTCCAAATTAATTCACTAAAAAATTTTGTTGTGTTATAAATATTTAATGGTGTGGATGTCCACAAGCCAGAAGAGTTATACAAGGATCAAATACATAGAGATAATATTTAGTAATATCTTATTTTAGTTAGATCTTATCTTCTGCTATAACAATAGCACCTGCGATCTTTTACTTTTATACTCTCTTCAACTTCCCAACTTCTGGTGGTTTACCTTATTCTAATTAAAATTTCTTACTTCTGGTGATTTGTAACATTTTGGTAAGATAACCCATTTCCAACCATGTTTACTCCTTCCATTTGTCTACTAATGAAATTTCATGATAATCACATTTACTTCAAGAAATGCAGTCATCCAACTTGGACAAGTATAATATTATTTCCCTCAATATTTTGTTCAACACTAACAAGAATTATATTGCTACTTCAGGAGCAACTTTCTGATTGTTCTTGTTATTAATCTTTCACTTCAGGTGGAAAATAACATTTTTATACGTGACTACCATATTATAATAGATTCATTATTATATTTTGACTCATAAAACCTCGTAGTTGTCCACTTGCTTCAGGAAGTGAAAATTCTCAAAATTGAAGAGTATTGTGATTTCTTTAAACAAAACCATAACGGTGTATTTAAGATAATAAATTGCTACTCTAAGAGCGATTTCTCGTTATATTTGTATATTTTAATTTTTTTTACTAATTAAAAGACATCAATCATTAGCCTTTTATCATATCGATATAACTTTTCTATCATCTGTCTTTGTTCATGTATACCACTTCAAGTGGTCGATTTATAAGACTATGATATTTAACAAATTCAAATCCACTTACTTCAGGAAGTGAAGAAAATATCTTTGAATATTTTCATGAAATTGCTACTAATAGAGCAAATTTAATAAATGAGAAATTTATAGTAGAAAAGGCTACTACAGTAGCACTTGATTGTATCCAATATTTACAAAAGAAGAAAAGCTTACTGCACTCCCTGATCTACGGATCAAAATCAACTGCACTCCCAGATCTACGGATTAAATTTTCTCAGCTGGATAAAGAGTCGTACTGATAACGTGTTATAAAATAAATATGAAGAACTATAAAGAAAGAATAATATAGAGAGAGAGAGAGAGAATAAGATTATTACTCTCTGTCAAGAATCAGAAAGCTATCTTGTTAACAAAAGTGTTCACGGTATTATTATGGATGTTCAAGGTCAAGATGGCCACAAGAAACGGTTACTACTGGCCATCCATGGAAAAAGATGCGACCAACAAGGTAAGAAGATGGGGAGATTGCCAAAGACATGATCCCATTCCTTGAAAGCCACAGCCAGATCTGATTGGAATAACCAGCCTGTAGCCCTTTTACCAATGGGGAATTGATATCGTCGGTCCTTTTCCAGCTACAAGAATTTATTACTTCACCAAGTGGGTCGAAGCTGCCACGCTATCCTCAATCTCTGGAAAGAATGTGTTGAAGTTTGTCTGGAAGAACATTGTATGTCAATATGGGATATGCGGAAAGATCATATTTGTCAATGGGAAGCAACTCGCAATCAACCCCTTCCGGGACTGGTGTTGAGAACTGCAAATCCAACAAGAAGGGATCAAGGGAATCTTGGCAGAAGAGATACACCATGTCTATGGTCCTACCAGACCACTCCTAGGAAGGGTACCAATGAAACACCTTTCAGTTTGGTCTACGGATGTGAAGTCATGATTCCGGTGGAGATAGGGATGCCTTCGGTCCGAATGTTAAGCTTCACGGAAGAATATAACAGAAAAAACTTCCGGATAAACCTGGACCTAGTAGAAGAAAAAAGAGAAGCCGCTGCTTTCCGGAAGGCACGTTACAAGTTACAAACAGTGAAGTATTACAACACAAAGAACTCAAGGTGGGAAACCTGGTACTTCGGAGGAATGACTACAGTGGGGTGGCTGGTAACAAGAAGCTAGATGCAAAATGGGAAGGACCATACAAGATAGCATAAGTCCACAGATCCGGAAGTTACACTCTTGTCCAGATGAATGGGAAAGTCGTACCCCGCACATGGCATCAATCCAACCTATAAAAGGTTCTATTTCTAAGGAAAGGCTAAACATTTGTCTAGAGCATATCATTTAATCCTTGTTGAACTTTCTTTTCATTGCTTTGGTACACAAAACGCTCATCAAAAAGCATTGCGCATTTCATTTTGACGCCAAAGAGTATCATTGTAATGGGTACTGGACGGTAGTCTTGTTGCGAATGATATAAAAGCTCAGTAAAAGTGGTCGAAGTTTCCATTATTCAACAAACTTTGCTGAATATCTTCTCTGTTTATGTTTTGTACAATCCCAAGACTTATTCAACCTAAGTCAATTAACAAAGAGTGATGACCTTTAAGTAGTGAACACTCCCCAAAAAAAGGCAATAACTTTAATTTGTTATCATGCCTAAGTGCATAGTTGAAAGACAAAGCACAATAAAATGGCAAGCCTCACAAAGGCAAACCAAAATAGCTAGCTAAAAAAGTAAACCATACGAATGAGAAGGATAATAAATAAAGTGCTGGAGCACGAATATCCTATTGCCACAAAGGCATCACAACAAATACAAACCAAAGGAGGCTACAGCATTTGCCTCAAGGGAAAACAAAAGTTGAAGCCACACAAAAACAAAAACAGCAACGGGATACGCCAAAATAAAGATACGTAGTTTTGTCTATTAAAAGTTTAATACATGACGATAGAATGAATAAGAAAAATAGAGTCTTGTTCAAGATGCCTTTGCCTGGTTCGCCTCCCCTTCCCTATCTCCTGCACCAAAAGACCCTTGTCCTGTCACTGTGTGGGATGTGCTAGCTTTCGGATTAGGCAGGAGGTGCTTGGCACGAATACCCATAAGTGTTGGAGTGGGATTCTGGGCATTGTCAGCAAGGACTCTATGATAGTCCAGAGCTAGATGATGAAGAGCCACCGTAGCCTCCTGGGCCTTGGTAATCGCGTTGGGGTTGCAAAATGGCGTCTCCTCTAGCTTCACACCCTTAAACGAGGGATGATAGTACAACGCCATCTTGTGCTCACCAATAGCCTTCTGATCCTACGGCACCCTTTTGAACTGCCTCTGGAACACAAAGTCAGCCAAACCCTCACTAAAATAGTAAGGAATACTCTCAGTAATCAGCAAGTGTCGATCATGTGCGTTTCCAGCTCCTTGATGAGATTCTTGTTCTCCTCTTGAGTCTGAGCAAAAGCATCGCCCAACTTCACAACCCTTCTCTCCAAATTCAACCTGAACAACATCAAGCTCATCCTTAGCCACTTTCAACTCATCCTGTGCATCTTCTAATTCCTTCGGGAGGACGGAACAAGATTCCTCTGATTCCGTAGCCTTCATCTCCAAAGCCTTTAACTTCTCTTCATAGGCCAAAGAGGTAATCCGGTGCTCATCCAACTTGCAGACTAGAGTGACACACAAGTTGGCAGTCTACAAAAAAAGGGGGGTGATGACGCAAAAATATATACACTTTTTGCAAGCATTTTCCACTCATTTTTGCTTATAATTTAGTGTCAATTAATTAGAATTAGTTTACTTTTACGGTAATTTTACAGTTTAGGTATCTCAAGGGGCCAAGTTGGCAAGTTGCAGAATAAAAAAATCTCCTATGCTGCAACTTGCTGTCTCACCTTTCTGCTGCAGAGAAGAAGGCCATAACTCCACCAATCCAAACTTCTCCAAATCTCTATAAATACCCTATCAGTAGCAGTAGAATATAGAACAGATTGGGTAGTTAGATTTAGTCCTAAAGATAGTAGTTAGGTAGTAGCTAGTTGGTTAGAAATAGGGTAGTAGCAGGAACAAGACAGACTGTCACTTTGTCAAGTGGCGAACGCCACTCACCATAGTGAGTAGACAGAATTGTCGCTGCTACCATCTTCCCTTCCTTTACTCTAACCTTTAGATTAGGATTCATGTCCTATCTTTTGTACTCCATTGTGCTCATGCATAACTCAATAATCATGAGTAGCTAACTCAGTTAAGGGTTCAATCGCTACTATCTTTATGTGAAAGTTTTGATTCAGTTTCCTTGATAAGGTGTTGTGCCTAGATAAGTGATTTAATTAACCTTTTAGTTAACTTGATCAATTAACTAGAAGTGCATACATGGTTATGAAGATCTGGAAGTGGTGCATAACTTAGAACTGTTTAATCTAGCCTATGACAAAGGAGGAATGCCACTCCTTTCGTTTCATTCACCAACGGCATTTCGGTGGTGGCATAGGTGATCTATAAGGGCTTAAGAACTTAATGGCCGGATTAAATAAGACTCTGACTGGGCTAATAATCTAGGACTCCTTATTCTATCTTGACGGAATTATAAAGATGCATAGGTGCCTGATCGAACAACTAATCATACACTACATGAATATTGAATCAAAATTGGATCATAAAGGTAGAAGGTGATTGGCCCTTCTGCCTTATCGCTCTGTCAAGTGACTATTCTCACTCTACCAAGTGACAGTCTGTTCAATTGTTTTTTTTCTTTCCTGCATTTTAATCAGATTTTAAGCGGTTGACTGCCGTCCCTGTGCAACAATCCTGTTTACCACTAGCTAATAGTTTTAAGTAGGTTTATAAATTATTCTTTTGGGGAACATTTCTAATGACAACACAAATTGTGTCTCACCAAGGGGGATGTATGCGAAGAAAAGAAAAGTAAATAAATACACAAATACCAAATATATATAAAAATAACATATAGGTAAACAATACAAAAAACATTAATTAAACCATAAAAATGCCGCACAAATTGTTAAATAAATAAAACAAATAATCTTACCTCCAAAGAAGCAAAAGTAGCTCTTTGAGCCACACCCTCATCCGGAATGGTAAGAAGATAATCCTTATGAGCTGGGGGGACATGTTAGCAAACCAATCCTTCCAGAGGTGAGAGCTGTTGAGAATAGATCCGAAATGCACAACTTGAAAGTCCGGGCGAAAAGGTTCAATTCTCCAAGCCGCCATCACTGGTGACATCACAAGATCACCAAGTATCGTGGAAGAACCTTCATTCACCCTGTTAGTGGGAACAGTGGCAACCGGACGCTTTCCTTCCCTCTTCTCCTTTAACACATCCTCCGCAGCTAATACCTTCAGGGCTAACACCTCTGTAGTTGATAAAATTTCAATATCTGGTACAGTATCAATCATCTTCAACCTCTTTGAGCTCCCTTCAGTAATAGGCTCTTCCATCTCTTCGTTAGGCGAGTCAGATTCCGCAATACTGTCTGCAGAAGAACTGCCCTGACATTTCGGACACTATAAGGACAAGGCATTTGGTACGACCTTTGCCTTCCAGGGAGCAATAACTTTAGATCCCAACAATCCAAATTTTCATCATCCAAAAAATCCACACCAGAGACAACTACCAAAGCAAATACACAGAGAAATTAATAATAGCAAAAGGCAAAAAAGTAAGATTGCCAAGCAGAAATAAATACATCTACCTGAAGGGTACATATATATATACACACAGGAAAACTAAAAACAATAAAAGGAAAAAAAGTGAACAAACAGTAGCGGTAGTATATCCTACACTTTCCGGACAAATTTCGAAACTCTGGCACCTCTTCTGGATCACCAAGGTTGCTCATCCCATAATAAATAAGTGCAGCCTCTGGCAAGACTTTACCGAATACAGAATGACCCAAATAAGCCCGAATCACCAAGTTAGAAGCTTTTGGAATTTTAGCCACATCCTTTATGGGTTGATCCGGAACCCTCCATTCCATATTTCCTTCAATAACACTATCCCTCACAAAAAGGAAGCCATTACCCCAACCTTTAAAACCATCCGAGACACCCTTTATAATGCCTCTTTCTTTGAAACGCCTAGAAAGGGTATACCAGTCTCCGGATGGAGTAAATATAAAGAAGTATGACATTTCATAGAAAGGAGGCTCAACTACCAAAGCCTTACTAAGAAGTTCATAACCAAGAACACGGGCTACAAAGTGAGGACTCACTTGAGACATAGAAACACCATAACGGTTCAAAACTTCCAAGAAAAAAAGGCTAATGGGAAACCTTAAGCCCACATAAGGAAATTTGGCATAAATGCCAGTCATCCCATCTAGAGGGTCATCAATAGTGCAATCTTCTTCAGGAATAGAGGCACGAAAACCGTTCAGTATCTTATAATAATTCTTGATCGATTCAAGTTGGGCCTCTGTCAGATCAGAATTAAAAACACTAATTCCTAATTTAGGATTTGATGGTTGAACACTCGACATGGCACGGGGCTGTTTTCCCTCCGATCAAAGGGAAGACCGAGAAGAGCGGTTAGACAAAGGAGGTTTCATAACTTTTGCTAGTACCAGATACTTCGCATGTAAAAGAAAATCAAAAAGCAGAAAAACAAACACCAAAACACAAAAAAATATAAGGTACACTAAACAACAAGCAAGATCATAAAAAACCAATTGATGAGGCTATTGTTATGGAAAGTAGAAGCGTCGGAACAAAAAGTGAATCTCTTTACTTACCCGGATTCATCAGAAGTGGAGCTTTCCTTGATAGTCAGAACGATAAACAAATAATCGGAAAGCAAATCCTTCACCTTGCACACAACCCTTCTACTTTGGGGGGAAGCAAGAGGGGAAAAAATAAAAACAAAAATAGAAGAAGTGTTTAGGGAGGAGTTTTGTAAAGTCCTTGAAAAGAGAAGCTACTAAAAGAGCACAACTTTTTGAAATTTGAAGCGGTTGAAGTGACAAGACCCCACCCTTCGAAATTCGCAGAACTATAATAACGCCTATTCAAACCATGGGATAAGAAGAGTAGAGGAGAAGCTTTTCTAGTCTAGATGCGGCGTTCCAAAGATGAACCGTGATGGGACCCATTCGAAATAAGACCAGGGTCAACTTATTATAAGGAATCGGGCCATCCATATGTGAAGTGGATCGAAAGGTGGGTCATCCACTTGATATAATGGGGTCCGCATTTACCACTTATAGTTAGGAAGAGAAAAGTGCCGCACTGACTTGTTTGAGCTGCCACAACCATTTCCGGTAAGGAAGACAGAGGTGGCAGATCAGAGAAGCAAGGCCTACCGAAAAAAGACAACAGACCAGACGAAAGGAGCTTTGACCCCAACGGCACTTTCTCCCTGGATGATCTAGACCATTGATTTTGATCCTTATTCTGCCTATATTATCCTATTATGGCTTTCAAGGTTAGGGTTCCATTATCATTATTTCTCTTAGCCATTCTACTCTTACATTCACTCTCTAACTTAGACATCGAAGTGTTTGCCTGGGAATTGACCCGGTACTTGCACTAACAATCTTGGTTTTGCAGGAGAAGCTGATAATACTTAGACAATTGTTGGTGGAGAACTTGATCTCCATCATTAATTGTATATATTTTTTCTTCTTGCAGGAACCAGAAACAAGCTTGAAAAGATCAAGTACGCCACCCGTCACCGCCTTTTTACCTATTATCTTACCTTCGAGCCAGCAGCTCAGGTTGGTGATGATTCTAACATCGAAACCTTCCAAGCACAGTTTGTCTGTGTATTTTATGAACCTTCTCGTAACAAGGTTCTCCTCTGTGAATGGAAAGGTGTACTTGATGCACAATATCAAAAGGACAAAGTAGCTGGTGTGCGTTGCCAACTTCCTTGTTGTGGACCCCCTTAACTTCCACATTGCCCTTGCACACTTCCTCATTTTGGAAAAAAACCATGTGATGTGCTACCAGCCAGCAGTTTTGTTGCCTTGCGAGTTGCGAGTAGCCTTTTGTATAAATATGAATCTAAATGTTTAAGCTCCTTCCATCCAGGTGTTGTTAGTTGTGGTTGGTTTGGTCTGGTTCATGTGTTGTCTAAATTATCAGAAGCCTACAACTTTTTAGATGAATATCTATTAAAACAAAATAGTTGATCCATTTCAGAAAAATAGTGCACAATATGATTTTTTTTTTTTGTGCAACAAAAGGAATACTAAATAGAGACTCAGCATTGCATGTGATAGCCGGGAACGGGATTCATACTATTTGGATGGATTCATCTATAGTTGATTCATGAATTTTTTGGAGAGGGAATTAAATCAAAATTTCATCTATAGTTGACTGTAATCCTCCCCTTTTTGCCTCCAATCCTCTTGCTACACCTCACCATCACCTTTATTTACTCAGCTCCTTGTTAACAGCTCCATTAATTTTTTAATGTTATCTTTGATTCGGTAAAAATTCAGAGAGACCTTGTTGCTTTTTTCCATTATTAGGCTGAAATAGCAGACAATTGAATATAGGTGATGTAATTATACATTTGTGGCGACAACGCTAAAAATCCGGCGAAATAAAGTGAGAATTGCAGTAAGAGATATCTTTTGGTCAAAATTGGGAAAGAAAAACTTAGGGTTCACAAAGAAATGGATTAGAGGATGAAAAAATATGTTCGAAATTGAAATTCATGGCTAATTTGGGCAGAGATGGCAAAGACGGTGGGTGCAGCATAACTATTCTGTAAAGGAAGGAGGAAGAGAAGATAAAAATGGGGGGTGGACATTTAGCTGCAAGACTATTTTGACTATTTTGTAAAGGGAGGAGGAAGAGGAGATTAAAAATGGGGGATGGACATGAGAATCGGGGAAGTAAAATGAGAAAGAGACGACGGCAAAAAAAGAATGTAGACTTTTGTGTGGCCAAATCCACCATTTTGTTGTAGAATGGAATTTTGCATAAAGAAGGTAATGACTCCATTATATATGGGTCCGTAAAGTTGAACCAAGGTAATGACTCAATAAAGTTGCTTCAGTGTATAAAACCATATCAGCGATGGTGGATGAGGAGGAGAAGAAGAAGGTGGAGGAGCGGCGGAATGCGATGGAGGGACTGCAAAAGGATAAGAAGATCCACTACAGCCGAGTTAGCTTCCTCCCAATTGATTTAGGGTTTTTTTCATTTCTTCCCCCAAAACAAATATGTTCTTTTTGTCTTAGCAAAGAACTACCTCTGCTCGGATGATACTTTAAAACTATAGCAGATCTCTCAATTCAGATTAATTAATACCCCATGCACGAATGTCGCAAGCCTCAGTTGGAAACAATTAAAAGAAATTATGCATATTTATGGATAAAAAATATGTATGATAGGAAGAGCCACTTGCATAAGATAGCAGTCATATTACACAAAAATCAGAACACTAATTTAGAAGCAAACACAAAATTGCAAATGGTACTGAGATACTTGCTCCTATATTCTTGTTTACCACTAAAATCTTTGTAAATAAGCAACATTCTAAATAATTTTTTGATTGAAGAATTTTACTTTAATGTAGTAAGCATGCCAGACATTTAGGAATAAATACAAACATCAACAACTGGAAGAACCATCCCTGGGTCATGAATATCGAATAAAACAGAATAAGCTTGGCAAAACCAGTCTGCCGACATATCATATCTAGACGTTTGAAAGACCAATGTCACATAAGTGCATCGTGATGAGTTCATCTGCTGCTCTTAATGCAACAAAGAACATCGCTTTTCTCTTCGAACCAAAGAACTATGGACGATCTACCGTGATGTCTTTCGGACATGTAAAGTTTGGATATGCCACAAAAAAAAAGTATGTTTTTCTCTATATACTATATCCCAGTCTGGTTATTATTTGCTCCAGTTATCTTCATTCAATAAACGGTTAATCTAGACATACTTCAATCAATTTTGTAACAAATGATTCTAACTAATCAAAACTTCATTTTGCAAGGGATGAGAAATTACTAATATAATCTTTTGAAAGTAGTTAACTCCATGCAACTAATTATACATGCTCCAGATAGAAATAAGACGCGCATCGTCCTGCCATAAAAAAAAATACCAGGTCCTAATCACTTTTCCATTATGCCGCAGGTTAAGATGTGACGATGTTGAGCAGCATAAAAGTTGATTACAAAGTGGAGGCTATTCTCAAAAGTTTAATTGCAAAACCAGCTTCCAAGACATCCTTTTACATGCAACACCACCAAGTTACTTTTCTTATATTTATAATAAATTAAGAAACTGGCTGTACAGAAGGATATGCTAACAAAAAGTGACAGAAATAAATAAGAAATCAAGATCCTAATAAATACTTTAGATGCAAATGAGTCAATGCTGACCACTACCAAACTATGAATTGAGCACAAACTTGGAAGCCAATAGATGTAGCAAAAGAAGTTTCTTACTAAATACAATCAGAACAAATAAAGGTGCACAGGAAGGGAAAAAGACACAAATGTAAGAAAGAACAAATTCAGATGGAGTCTGGACTTTAACAAGAATGGCAGAGTTGCATAAAACAAGAAATAATTTCATTTTGCCACTAGCAAAGAGTATTCATAATTCGGATAAGGAAGGGTAGAAGAATGCTATCACTAGTTAATAATGCGGATGAGGAAGGGTAGAATGCTATCACTAGGTTCTTCTATACATACACCTAAGATCATCATGATCCCAAGAAGAAATCAAAGTGTTGGCACTTTGGTTAAGTTAATCCTTATTATTTAGCAATTTAGTTAGTTTATTATTCTCAATAATAATTTCTAGAAAGGGGGTATTTTATCCATTATGCAGGATTTTCTGGAATAAAAAGGAAATTAGGTATGAATCCTAGCTGTGTTCGGTTTAGGTTCAGTTCTAGGCCTATAAATAATGTACCTCAAATGAGGGGAATTTTCAGATTTCAGTGGAATGAAAAATTCCTGCGATAGATTGTGTCTTCCTATGGTTGTGTGATGTATGTTTTTGCTGGTGTGATGCCTAGGAATCCTGCAGTGTTATGCCAAAGAGTATTAAGAGTGATTCTTAGGTTTTCTTCATGTTTCCCTACGATTTCCACCATATTTCCGCACAGAATTCTTTTAATTTTTCTACTGCTCATTAGTCAGCCTAAGGTCTGATATCATAACTACCATGCATGTCCTGCATCAATTCAACTGCTTTAGCATTAGTTCGATGAGGTGTTTCTCAACTAAATAATAAGCATCTAAATAGTTATGAAATCATTGATGTAAAAGATAAGTTTTCGGCTCAGTATAACTGTTACGACCCAACTAGTAATTGGAACATTCTCAATAGGGTAGAGCAAAAAGTATTGAAATTTGATGCTGATCAGCATACCATATTGGAACCAATAAAAATACATTTATTTTAATGGTTCTTTCTTTGGCTTTAGATAATAAATTCCAATCATGAGAAGCGAGATGCAAATTCATAAGATGCACAACTGTTTTGTATAGGCATAAATGAGAAGT